CTGCACAAGGAACTTACTCGGGCCTTGACGTCCCTGACAATGTCCAGGTAGGGCATCCCCGGCTTCACCATCAGCATGTCCGCTCCCTCCCGCACGTCCCGGTCCTGCGGGGGGAACACGCGCGCGATGGGGCAGCTTGAGGTAGAAGAACATTTTCCAGCAAGTCCACAGTTGGTTTTCCCCAGAAGTTTTGAGTCCCTAACAGCCACTGGAACCCACAGACGGGCTGTGACGGGGAAGAGCCAATGCTCCCCTCGCCAGACAGGCAGTGCCTGGGGAAAGCCATGGCTGCGTGTCCCCGGCCCAACGCCTCAAGCCACAGTAGGGTACAGGGTCACCAACTCCAGGCTCCCAGCGCACGCTGGGGACCAGCTCTCTGGCAGGCTGACGGGCGTCACGTTTCTCTCACTTGAGAGGGAAGACCCTCGGCCATTTTGGCTGGTGTGCCTCCTTCTGCCTCCAACACCCCTGGGCTTGCTCCCCGCAAACCCACGACCCTTGGTGCCTTGGTGCCGCCCCGGGCAGCCCGACCCCGGCTCACTCACCACGGCGCGCATCGCCAGGCCCCTGGCACCCAGGGGCAGCTGGTAGCATTTCCTGTCTCCGAAGGCGGGTTTGGATAGCGCAGCGTCCCTGGTGACAGGCAAGGCAGAGGGCAGGGTGTGAGGACCAGCATGGTTCCCTGTGCCTCTTGCCCTGCAAAGCTTCAGAAACATCAGGACAGGCTAAGACCTGGGCCATCGGTGGCAGGAAAAAGGGGGCTGTCCCAAGGCTCAGCACCCCAGCTAGGAGGTCTGACAGGCCATGGCCTGGGAGCTGCTTGAATACCCGCTGCCCTCCCCCTGCCCATAGTCTGGGGTAAAACCATGTCAGACATTTCCCTTTTGCTCTTTTCCAAGACAGGTTCCTCAGGGATGCCCTGTCGGTGTCAGGCTGTTCGTGGGATGAGGTCTAACAGCTGACTGAGCTGAGGCTTGTCCCTGAAGCCACCCTTTGGGGCAACCCCAGCTCCTGGGACTCCCCTCCTCGCTGCTCCTGGCAGCTGCAGGCAGCTCCCTCCCTGCCTGCCCTGCCACCCGCA